GAAGATCTACAACAGAATTTCCAAAGGAAATCATGCTTCCCTCCTGTTTAACAGAAAAGAAAAAAACAAAACAAAACAAAACAAAAAAAAAAAAAAAAAAAAAAAACAAAAACAAAACAACAACCACCTTTCTTCTGCAAACAAACTGGCATAACATAAGCTGCTATATGTACTTTCTACTTTAGCATCCCACACCAGCTCCTCCCTTCCTCTGTCTCCACTATTCCCAGCTTGAAGCCCATTTAACTTTTTTGGTTGGCTGGTCTTAATTCATATCAGTGGGAAATCGGCACATAACTATGAAAATCAGAACATGCAGCCAGAGGACTGCAATTAACATTTATGTTTTTAAAGGGAATATTTGCATAACCACTGTCAGGGAGGGAACTAATATCTATCTCTATCTATCTGTATATCTCCTGTCTTCCTTGCCCTGTTTCCTCCATTGTTATCCTAAACATTTCCTCCAGGAGAAGGAGGAGAACCACCTCCTGGATTTTCCACCACTGGCTGAGGCTTTTTGGTTTAGTCTCAGGTTTTCTTATGCTTGTTATTAAGTGTAGATATTTTTCAGCACTTATGACTATCAGGGCTGAGAAACAGCATGGGACTTCTAATTTTATGAAAGCAGCCAGAGGAGAAGAAAAGACAACAGTTTTGTTTTACAGCCCACATAATTTTCCTTCCAAATAAGAGAAAACGTCATGCCTAATACAAAACTGTAGCTCTAACCATCATTACTTAAATATGAGTGAATATTCAGCAAACTATGAAGCTAGATAAGTATCTCAAAAGCCCTCTTGCAGGTCCTTCCTTGTCAGTTTAAACCAGTATACCAAAAGAAGTCATCCTCATACAGTGAAAAGATCCTACAGTTACACCACCACCCTAGGATGAACTGAAAACCGTAAATTTTTTCAACTAATTCCTCATCACTAAACCAAAATATGTTTTAGATGGGAGAAAGATGATATACACGACTAGTTTCAGCTTGCTCTGAAAACTACATAGCTTAGACAATCTCAAAGGGTTAAGTTGCATCAGATTTTCACAATACATACTCCGTATGTTTCCTCACCACTTCAAGTAACCAAATGCCTTCTAAAAATGATGCAAGACACTGCCAACCACTATCTTTCACCAAGAACAAAGTAACATACACTCAACAGAAAAAAAAAAGTGTGTAGAATTGTTAAGAATCAGAGTAGAACTTTAACAGGGGAAGCAAATTAATGAGGTTAATGAATGCTTTGCTGAGGAATTTCATAGTACCACACCTTCCCTAATTCAGTAAAGTTATTTACCTTCCTTTCCATGCTGGTAACAGGCATCAGGAAGTTTGCTGACCTAAGAAGAGTATGCTCTGTGGTGCTCAAGAGCCTTATGCTCTTCCTGGAACATTATTTACTCAGGCCACTAGTCACATTAAAGATCAAAGCACCAAGACTATGCTCTCTACAGAGCATGCAACAGCTTTGACGTAATTTTTGTGGCTGGTGTAATAGGTATACCGTGCTGTTTTGTATTGCTTAGATCTTCCTAAGAGAAGTGCCTTAAGGATAAAAAAAACACTGCATTGCAGTGGTGCACAAATGAGGTGGTGAAGGCCTGTGCCTCCGAGCAGGTTTGTAGTACCAGAAAGCATTATTTAGTCAAAGGAGGTAGAGTTAAGCATAAAGTTAGCACTTGCATAAGAGCTCAGTCTTTGGAGCCATACAAGGACAACTTACACCAAACTGACTGTGAATTCACAGTGACTGCAGATCCTTTAAAAGTGGTCCTTCTGTGCACCGAAGTAATTTTGGCAAGATTTGATTTCTAACATCTACTTCCTTTGTGCTAACCATAGCACATTTTTAACTCCTAGCAAGCAGTCTCACCCACGACTCTTGCACATAGATCACACAGGAGAGGCCTTTCCCAGGTGTGTTCAGCGCATGTACTGCTTCCTCACAACTCAAGCGCTTCTAGACATTGCATGGGGTCCAGAAAGTGGCAAAGAATTATAACTGATTTTGAAAACTCTTTCCAAAGGCCAGAGGTATTTCAGTGAACCTTTTTCAAACTCAGTTTTAAAAGCACAACCACATAACTGACCATTTCATTCAAAGAGCAGCATCTGCTCTGTGAAAAGTTATTTACATAATCAGATCATTAGGTAAGCTAAAGCCATGCTGTTTCCAGGGATGGCACTTCAGACAGAGTATTGCCTTCAGCTCCTGACAACTTTTCGGGACATCCTTAAGACGTCCCTGTAGAACAGTGATTTAAACAATTTTTAGCACTTTAAAACAGTACCAAAGTCTGTATCATTTTCAAGTATCTAAATCCTACCCTGCATAGACTGGAACAAGGTGTATTTACCAGAAGACATGATCTACAAAAACATCACATAATCCCAGTCTTATTGCTATTCTACAAACAATTCTGCATTTTAAGTGACAACTGTCCAAGTTCTTAGTTTCTCAAGTAAAATTAATCACTTGAATACTGGATTAGGGTTGTTAGAAACAAGGCACTATATTTCTGCTTTTAAAAAGCAAAATTTGTTCTACTTATCACTGAGAAGCCAGCCATTTGGGGATTTGCTTTTTCTTTAAAAAACTTTAATAGTATTTTCTTTCCAAGTGTTGATTTACTTTGCTGTCCAAAGACTGACAAATGGACAGCACTACAGGACTCTAGTGCATGCCATAGAAATGTAACAAATAACAAAAGATAATGGGCAGAGTATGTGACACCCCATAGCCTCTCAATGAATTGGAACGGCAAGTGCTGTATTTGCTTCTAATTGAGCCACTCAAAAATTTGTAATTAGAATGATATCAGTGAATTAAGATACCATCTTGAAAGGCTTACTAAATACAAAATTATATCAAGCTGGAAAAAAATAATCTTAATAAACACATATCATCAGTTTCTTAATCTTTTCTATTGGTGCAGGAATGTCTCTAAAAACATGGTACAAAATGAACTCAGATCTCTTTTGGTTTTGTACAACCTGTGCAAATTAATAAAATGATAACTATAAGTTAAAAAGTAAAATAAAACCCCCATTGTTTTATGTATAAATTTCTCCTGAAGCAACATCTTAAGATAAGTTATCCAGACTGCAGTCTCGTAACTGTGATTTATGATGAACACATTATTGATGTCTCATGACACTGATTTTTATTTAACAAATTACCTATCCTAATGCTCACCAGCAAGACCTGGAAGAAGATAAATGCAGAACTTTCATACTACCATTAAGCATTGATTCTAAGCATTCAAATAGGAAAGAAATAAAAAGTGTTATAGAGCAGTCTGACCAACAACAGCTTTAATTGTGTAAGTGCTGTACATATTACTGCTCTCCAAATCACAGATTTCTGTTAATTTCTTTTAACAAAGACTTTTCTTGGTGTTCTGTTTTGACAAAAGAGAACAAGATTTGTAAATGACATATCAAGAAAGAAAGAAAAGAAGAAAAAAAAAAAGACATTCCATAAACATTTATCTTTGCTGAAGTGAAAGCAAAGTTCATGTGAGGTTCTTCAGCAAGAAATAAATCGGTAACATAAAGTGAAACTACGGAATGTGACATTAGTCAAAATGAAGAAAATACTACTTACAGTGCTATTCAGATACCCTTTTCTTGTCAGTCTTTGGCACGTCTACACTTTTGTTTTCCAATGAAAAGATCTATATATTACCACAGCCTTGAGAACCTGACATTTTTCCTGCTGCTTACACTCAGAAGGCTAGCCTACCAACCAACTGCTACAGCAGAGATCACACCACAAAGCGTCTGTTTCTCCTGCAAGTGCCCAATGGGGAAAGAAAAAAATCAAACCCAACAATAATTCGATACGCTACAGAACTCATCTGCTTCTTTTATACTGAAATAAGGGTTACAAGTTGCCTATGCTACAACAGACAATATTCCTGGAGAACCTCAGCTTCTTCTTATTGGACCTGAGGTACAACTGAAGATAGTATTCTCAGCAGAACAGTCAGAATAAACCGTGTAGCAAGCTCACTAAAGACAGAATGTGTTTTAAAATTACTTGATCTTAGAAGGACATAGTCTACTATTTTTCAAAAGATCAGATGTTTATGAAGAAAAAAAAACACAAAAAACCCAAATCCCTTTCTTCTCCTAAAGACCACTGCTGAACAAGTTTATTTGCTTTACTAATGGACAAAACCAAAACATCTGACTTGCAGTTAACAGGCCTGACCCTCTGAAAAAATGAATTTACAAGCCTCACATGGAGTGCGTTGACATAAACTAAGATATTTAAGAAGGTAAAAGTATATTACACACAAAAGATACTTTATTATTTAATGAGATTGCTCATGTTGTTATAATAGGTACATTTCCCACTACCTGGTCAATTTTCTCATTACTTTATTTCTTATATCATGCACTGACAAGAAATATTTTATATGTCAGTCAAAGACAGCAAAAAAAAGTCTTTCCATAATCTTGACTGGCAGTTTGCCACTGCCATCACTGTATCATCAGGGAAGAGAAAGCAGCACCAAAAATAACATTCTCCAGCCGGGTCCATTGGCCATATGTTACACGGAAATAAAATAAAAATAAAAAATAATAAAAAAAGAAAAACAACAACCAGAGAACATGGGGTTTGTTTGAGGGTTGTAATTTTTTTTTTTCTCCAGGAACCAGGAAAAAAAATTAAAAAAAAAAACAAAAAAACAACAATAACAAAAAAAAAAAACAACCCACCAAATTACAACTATTTAGCCTTGACCAAACCCTTCCTCCAAGGGCAGCATCTGATTTTCTTCTGGTATATTTTTTTTTTCATTTTTAAAATCACAGTGGCTCCAAGCTAATTTTCCTGAATCTATTAGTGGATGTTTATTCCTTGCCAAGGCAATATTTTTTTGGAGCAGTGCTAGTCAACAAACAATTTACAGATTGCTAACATATAGCAGCAGTACCATACAGGCTCATGAAGGTCAATTTGGTTTTGGAGCCTTTTACTTACCTTTCCCATTTTGCCATGCAGTATACCAGGACAAACTGAGGAAAGTAGTGATGAAAACTAACACGGTGGCCACAGTTCCATTTCGGAGCCTCATCTCATTTCAGCATCACACTTGTTTATGTTCTATTAGAGATGAGGACCTATCTGTTGGGCTTGCTGCAATGAAGTCAGCTGAAGTCCATCAGCAGCAGTTGGCCAAAGCAACACAAAATGTAGCTCTCACATATCAGAGGTATCGTAAATCAATCCATTCCAATCTGTTGTAAGCTCTCTTATCGTTCTCATGAATTAAACTTGTCTTTCTTCTTCCAGTCCTGTTTAAAGGAAATAAAATTTTAACAGATTATGCCAAAAATATTGACAAGAGTCCCCATGTACCAAAATACAGTAACGAAATACTACTACACTCTCATTACTGTGCCTTACACGCACCTCCCCCGCACTGCCTCAGTCTTGGCTCAGAGAACAGAACTTGTTAGATTGATTTGTCCTCTTTCTGTAAAGACTGCTTGTATCTGGAAGAGCTGTATTTCACATGAATTTGCTTAGCAAAGGACAAACATACACATCACCAACATTACAAGTTTATCATAAAGTCAAGGCGGGAGGGATCACGTGCCACCTGGCAGGTAATGAACTGATACAAGAGTTGTTTTCAGGAAGCCAGCAACTCAAGGCCCCACTCCTAAACCCTCACATCAACAAAACTGCTCTGAAATCAGTGTGGCCTAATGTAACTGCAGCAGCAGAACTGCCCCCAGCAAACTGAGAGACCAGTCATAAACAGCCTTTACAAACCTACATCACTCATCTTTCTCTGCTTAGTGTAAGCGTGTTTGATCCATCCACAACCATTTTTTCCCTAGCTTAGCTACATCTATGCACAGACTAGTCACACACTCAGAGTGCTCAATCTATATGAACTGGCAAAAACCCAAAAGCCCCACAAAACACCATGGTATGACCATATCACTCCTCTATCTCTGTCACACAGGCACAAGAACAAAACAACAGAAATTACCTACAGTTCAGTTTCATCCCAGAGGAAGGTTTCATATCCTGGGATTAGAAAATCCTCAGCTGGCCAAACACAGCCAGCAGCTAACCACACTGTCCTAACTGCACAAGGCAAAGCACAAGGAAATAAATTAACCAACTTTAAGAAGGGACGTGTGTAGATTTGTTTTTAAAGCACTACTTCATCCCTTACAGTAGTTCAAACATTAACATTTAATGTTCTTTTAAGGCACTACCAGATTTTACCGCACTATAAACTATATTTGATACAAATAATGCTACCCAGCAATAAATAACTTGCTCTGAATCTTCCTTGGAAGCAATCTCTGGCACTCTCTTGCCTGGGTGCATTTATAACAACAGAGAAAAATATATTTTGTATTATCCTTATGGTACCAAGAGATTCCAGTCAAATCTGAACTACCCTGCCCAAGCCTGTATCACAGCACATGCTACCTTTACCAAGGAGCTTGCAAAACAAGATATAACCAACAGGCATGATCAAGAAATTAAGAGAAAAAAACAACAAAGTTGCAGACCTACAGGCTCTTGTGTTCAAATTGTGGTCACGACACCCAAGTTACAGAAAACATTTATCTTCAGACTGTGATTACCTCCCATATAATGCTACTAACAAGCTTTGTTTTGAGGAACTTTACACACAGATTGGCTTGTGTAAACATTAACTCAGAAATCACATAGCACCTATGAGGAAGGAAACAAATGCAAGAACACAGGAAGCAGACAAAGACGATGGCAAAATTCAGTAAGAAACAAAATAATGAGCAGGAACAGAAAGAACTGTGAAAAGTCTTATGACACAAGAAACCTGAATTCAATGAAATAAAAGATAAAGACAACTGAGAGACCTATAGAAAGTCAACACAGAGAGTATGGCATGCCAGTAAGTATCATCAGCACCAGCACTTTGAATAGGTGATGGACGTGATAAAAAGCCGGAAGAGTAGCAATAGTAATCTGGTGATAAAAGTCTGGGTGAACTGTAGCAAGGAAAGGCAAAGATCTCAAAACCCCATGGTTTTATAAGGCCTGTCTGCATAAATTTGGAAAGTTCAGGTGATTCCCAGACTAACAGAATAAACAGCTAGGATACCACTCAGGTCACTGACACTAACAGTTTAACACAGCTAAAGTGCCTCTGAAGCAAGGATGACTAAACCTTCATCTACCTTTACCATTATTCTAGCAGCAGTCAGATCTCTCTGGAGCAGGTCAGGTGTGCATGAAAGACCAGTCTGCAAGCTAGACAGATTATCCCATTGGGGCAAACAGACAGCTGGTCTGACATGCAAACAAGAGAGGGCAATCAGGAGAGCAAAAATATCATCTGATAATGCCAGGAAAATGAACCACCTGCCTCACTAGAAAACGCGGGCATCATTTTTACATTTGCTGCAATAAAATCAGGATGTTGTGATCAGGGCTTCTCACTGAGCAATTTGAATCCATAAAAAAAAAAATAAATAAAAAATATACAGCATGAAAGAATTCAGAGGAAAAAAAAGAAAAAAAAAAGAAAAAAGCAACATGATTCAATTAGCAGCAAGTATGCACAAATTGTGTCAAATTAATAATTATCATGGGTTTGAGTTGGCTGGTTCTGCTTTTATCTTTCTCTTCTGGTCTTGTACCCACTCCTCTTAGCACAGACACCAGCAGCTCAGCTACAGCTCAGCAATACTTAGACGATTATTCAAGCATTACACTGTATCAAACTGCATACATCAAGGCCATGCATGAACCAGAAGCGCTCCAGCTTTTAAAAATGCAGATAGTTAAACCAGCAGAAACCCATGTGTAGATGGACATAAATTATTTAAGCCCCAGGTGGTCACTTTAGATTTGTTCAATAATTTATCACACAAACTAAACAAATTTAACTGAGGGGTAATCCAGTTTGAGCCAACGTTATGACAGGGAATAAGTAGATAGATTGAAGCCTATGAAACTTTCCAGCACCGTTGTGACCTGAACCTTTTCCCCTGCAGACTGACAGGAACAGTCCTGGTAGATGCTGACGGCAACGGGTACCGAAGGTACCTGGCACCCCTCAGGTGCTGAGGGGCATTCTACTGAGGATTCAGAAGAATCACATCTTAAATAAACCAAGAAGTTTCTGTATGTACCCAGACACTCCCAAAACACATACAAAGTATATTTCCAACCACAAATCAGAAAAAAACGTTACACTTCAATGCCCCGGCAAAGGCTCTTCGCACAATTGCTGAAGGGTTGAACGGTGTAGAATCAGGGCATGAAGCGAGCCAGACTTCTGGGGGGATGAGGCCAGATCCCATCCTGCCGGGAGGTGCAAAAGCACCTACCGCGGCAGCGGCGTTGCGTTTAAAAGGCTGTTCTTCAAGGCACGGGAGAACGATTAAGAGACAAGAAGGAAAAGGTTGGTGGAGATCCGCTAAACAGGGGACTTTCCACCTTATTTCTACTGAAACGCTTCAGCAACCCCCCCGTCACCCGCCTCCGTTAACGGCCGTCCCCTCCGGCTCGCCGGCGCCCTGTCATTTCGCAGCCGAAACGCCCCAAGCCCGGGGAACGGCGATCCGCTGCCTCCGCCGAAACCGTCCCGAGTTAGCCGGGACCTTCCTCGGTGTCTCACCGCCCCGGCCCTGGCTATTTAGTCTGAGAAGCGAAAGATCAAGCGGGGAGATAACGCACCGGCCGCGCCAGCTCTGCCAGGCAGCAGAGGGCGAGAGCTGAGGGAGACGGAGAGGAGGGAGAGCGCCGGTCCGCGGAGCTGCCTGGCGCATCGGAGCGTGGTGGCGAAGGGAAGGAAGAGGGACGGGAAACTGCAAACTCTGCCGAACCCCCGCGGGCTCCCTCTCCCGGGAAGCGAAGGAGGAAGGATGGCAAGAAGGGTCTGCCCGAGCGCACCAGAGGGAGAAGGAGGGGGAGCAGCGCCGCTCTTACCCTCCAACCGCCCGGAGCGCACCCTAAGCACAGGGCGAAGGGAGGGGGCGGCAGCAAGTCCTGCGAAGGACCCGCAAGGGCTCCCTACACCACCACTGCCACCAGGCAGGTGCATGCGAGCGCAGAAGGGTGCATACACGCAGATGGCGGAGCAGGACAGCCCCCAGAGAGACCGCAGAGACCCGCAGAGACCGGCGGCGCTAGGAGGGAAACAGCCTCCGCCGCACACCCGCTCCAGAAGGTGGGGAGAAACACCCGGCTCTGACCCCCCGCAAGCACCCGAGCCGGCTGCAGCTGCCGGCTCTGAGCCGGGTCCGAAGGCGGCAGCGGGGGAGCAGGACCCACTGACCGCCGCTGCCATCCTCACCTGTGCGTGCGCTCCGGCAGGGGGAGCCGCGGGGCACGGGCGGCGGCGGGCGGGCGACTGTCTCGGCTCGCGCGGGGATCTCACTCCCCTCTCCCGGCCCCCCCCACCTCCCCTTCCTCCTCAGCGACGCACACAACCCGCGCAACCGCACCCCCCACCCCCGGAGCGCCGTGGAACGGCACGGGGATACGCCCCGCCCACCGGCCCCGCGGGCAGCCTATGGGCGGCCGCGTCGGAGGAGGAGACTCATTGGCTGAGAGTCCTGTCGCTCTGTTCGGCCGCAGCTATAAATGGCTCTGTCTCGCGAGGCCTCCCTCAGAAGCAGTGGTGGGAGCTGGAGCGTGGGGGCGTTGTCAGTGCTCATGGAAATCGTAGCGTCAACAGGGTTGGAAAAGACCGTTAAGATCATCAAGCCCAACCTTCATCCAAGGACTGCCAGGTCCATCACTAAACCATGTCACTGAGGGCCTCATCTAAATGGGTTTTTGAATGCTTCCAGGAGCAGTGATTCCACCACTGCCCTGGGCAGCCTGTTCCAGTGACTGATCGCTCTCTGTGAAGAATTTTTCCCTAATACCCAGTCTAAACCTCCCCTGGCACAGCTTGAGGCTGTTACCTCTTGTCCTATTGCTTGTTACTTGGGAGGAGAGACCTACCCCCACCTCACTACAACCTCCTTTCAGGTAGCTGTAGGGAGCCATAAGGTCCTTCCCGAGCCTTCTCCAGACTGGACACCCCCAGTTCCCTCAGCCATTTCTCATAAGACTTGTGCTTCATTCACTCCCTTCACCAGTTTTGTTGCCCTTTTCTGGATCGTCAACTCAGTATCTCTTATAGTGAGGGGCCCAGAACTGAACACAAGATTCTAGGTGCTTGTCTTGCCACGGCGTGTCTACTTATTAGGATGTACTTTTAGGGGGTTATTGTTCTGAAAGACTCCTAAGAAAGGCTTAGCTGTCCCAGCACTTGGTTACTTGTTGCGTCGTGGTAAGCTGCAGGAGGTCCATCCTGAATTTGTCCCTCCCTAGCCCGATGCATAAGGATTATGTCTATCCTCCTGTAAAGAAGCTGAACTTGGCAGAAGATTTCTCAATCTGCCTCTCAGTGCCAAGCAAATCACATGTATTGGCGCCCCATGTGATGTGTGAGTTCACCAGTGACATGAAGTCACAGCCATGAATTCTACTGTTGAGTTCATACTGTGCTAATTATGTAGAGCTTGTAACAAGAACTGTTTAGTTAAAAAGCAGCTTGTTGCTTCACACTGGTTAAATGAACCCTCTGTCCTTTGTACCATTCACGAGTTGCAATGCCATGTGTGCTGCCCAAGAGGCTGTTAAAATGGGTACAGCTTCAGAGGTGTGAAAACGAACTGGCTTTCCTCCAGAGGGTCATTATTTCTTCGTTGGGCAATCACTGAAAGAAATTAGTGACGGCTTTACTCTATGGGCTAATGATTTAGGGTTGTGGTGGTTCTATTCTGTAAATAATCCCCTACCTTCAGTGGTTGGTTTCATGTGTTCCAGGAATTTAATGCATGTTTGGGAGGTCTGAAAGCTCCCATTAAAATCAGTCAAACAGCACCCTCAGCTTAGGTTAGGGTCCAGCCTACCTCAAAAGATCCATGCTTTTACCATATAGTGCTAGCTGTTTAGCAGTCTTCAATCCTTTTGACTGACTTGATTGCTTCCCCTTTTTTTACTCATCTCTCACCTAATTTCAACAGCCTATAGTACACATTTTTACTCTCAGTTAAGGCTTTTACTGTAGATATAGTGGGGTAGTTCCCTACTAGAACTAGAAACTGAGGAAAAATCTTGCTAGTTGTTCTGTCTGAAGAGTGACCTTTAGCAAGTCTCCATAGCTTATTTTTATTTAATGCTTAAGCATGCTACAGTATTTTTACACATTAGGGTACCTGCACAGAAGCCTTCAGTGATTTTTGTGGCTTTCTCAAAGCTTGCAAAGAGGGGCTGCTGGTAACTCAGGCAGAGCACAAAAAAAGGAGTTTGCAAGGTCTTGATACACAGGCTGTTCTGTGGTTTTATTTGTTGAGCAGTGAGAATTTATTATGAAAATGTGCCTCAATCTTCCCTTTTGTAAGGAACTGGAATGAAGTGGATTTTTTACTGAAAAACAGATTTAGCACAATAACTTTCAGACAAAAAATAGCGCATGCATGTCCTCACGTGCAAACACACACACACACACACCTATAGCAGAATTTTCTATTGAGATCCCAACAAGCCAAAGACATTACAAAGACATTAGAGCCACCGTTGTTTGCCTCCAATAGATGAGTATTGCTTAGGGATATAAATTTTTGCATTTCTGTGCTGGAAAAGTATAAACTGGTGGAGACATTTTCACATTAAAATCCTTTTGTCAAGAGAGCTTAGTGTTTTGAAGGGAAGGCTGTGTTGCGCCATGAGTTTAATGACAGTCATTTCACAAGAACTGTCTGAACCTTTCCTACTTTTTGTTCTTTCACTGACTGGACCTTGACAGTATCCAATTAACTATTAACTTCCCTGAACAATAGGGTAAGCATAACATGTTTGTTTCTCAGTTCCTCTGACATCTTCCCCTGAAGTTAGTTTCCTGAGAAGGAAGGCAAAGTTCAAAATAGAAAAAATAAATATTCAACATTGCCCTCATCTGACCCACTACAGCAATAATCAAATGCCTCCTGGCATATTCCGCTACTTTATGCGTGGAAAAAGTACACGATGAAGGAAAATGCTGCAGCTGCCAGAGGAAAGGAGCTGAGGATTTTTGTCTGACGCTAAAACTTTGCTTGCATTTTAGTGTAAGGTGAGGGTGGCAGTTCTATTTTAGGCCTGAACAATATTTAATGCCTGCAAATTTCTGAGTTCTTTCTTTCTGCCCAGTTACTCTTTCATCCTATAGCCACTGCTGTTCAGCTGAAGTATCAGTTTTGAAACTGGAGAAGATTAAGCACTTCCAAAGTGTTCGCAAGTGTTTAAATGCAAGTGTTAAGGTGCAAATACTGTAACAACCATAATGGAGGAGATGTGGGAGAGGAAATTGTTTTAAAAATACAGGAAGTTTAAATCCTTGGCATTCTAGCTTGGGTTGCTGAAATAGAAAGACCAAGGAGCTTGCTAGTCTATACCAGTAGGAAAAAAACCCAAAACAAACCCCAAAACAATGCAAGAGAGAAATGCATAATCATATTTTGACAGAGAAGATTTCATGTTGGGAAATTTTTCCTAAGGTATTACCTACATGTCAGAGTAAAGACAAAGTGACAAAAAACGTTCCAGGCCTGCTGTAATTTCACACATTCTTCAGTGACTGCTCCTGGCACACCTGGGCAGCTGACTTCTATAAGGCTGTGTGATTGTTGCCATTCATCAGATTTGGAGCTCTTTTTACCCAGCCACTTCTCCTGTCTCATTCAGAAGCATAACAGTGTTGTCCTTGCCTTTCACCGTGCTCATGTTCTGGCTTTTCCAGGCACTAGGAAAGAAGCAAAAAGGGTAGAGGTGCTTGGCAGTGGCAGCAAAAGTCTCAGCAGTTGAAAAATATCTGTTTGAAAGTTGCCTGTGTCTCCTGACTGAAAACTGAGTTCTCTTTCAGAGATTTATTCCCAGCCTGCCACTAGCCTTGTTTTTTTAACAGAGCAAATACCTTGGGACTCTCAGTGCTTCCACCTCTACTTCTCGGTTTTGCTTTTCCGTGACCAAATCCTTTTTGTTCTAGCTAGCTGAGCACCTCACTCAGTGAAGCTGTATTTCTGCTGTAAAGGGAAGGGAAGGGGAAGGGAAAAGCAAAAGCGACAGGAAAGGAAAAGAAGGGGAAAGGTAAGGAGAGCTTTCCCATCCCCTCTCTATGACTAGATAAAATGGTGTATACATATAAATACAGAAGGCTTTCCCATCTCACATACAGGTTTGATGCTTATGCAAATCCAGATCTCATTATGGCTTTATAGACACAAACTGAAACGAATGCTTCAGTGGCTGAGCTAGTTTGCAAAAGACAGGTTTTGGTTTGTGGTGTTGTAAACTTATTTTAGACACGAAGTTGCTAGATGTACAGTTCATGTATTAACGTGCGGCTCGTGTAGCATCTATTGTAGTGTTAATACTCTACAAGTGACAGGATATAGAAAATTACATGAAAATATGATTGTAGATACAAATGCTTAGTAGCCAAAAGATATCACTCTTAGGTAATCTTCATTATGCCTCTTCTGTGACTTACATGATGAAATAATCTTCTGTTACATGTTGTGATGCCACTCCACACAGAGCTGTGTCTCACTCAGAAGTCAGGTGTGATAGTGCCATCCTTTCCTGCAGGTATATTGTTGGTTCACTTTAACAAGATAAAAACTGAGATGGGAAGCAGCAAATAATCTGTCCAGGAAGTCCCTCATGGAGGTAGGAACAGAGCTTGATCTCCAAACTCATGTTTCTGTACCCCTACGCCCACATCACTGTCATTTCACTTGCTGTGGAGGTTCTGTCTGAGCCACAAATGCCTCTGCCATGTGCCCAGAGGCGATGAACATTTACATTTCATCTCCTTCTGAAGGCAGAGGCTTTTAAATGCATTCCTACTATTACATAAACATAAACCCGGAAACCATGAAGTTCATATTGTGCCAATATTGCTAATGGTAGCTGAGGTCCAATGCCTAGGTAAAGAGCAGTCAGCTATGGTTGCTACTGAAAAAGTAGTCCAAGGGAAAGGAAATCACACTAAGAATTATGGATTTTGATTGCCAGCTCATTTTCACACATGACTGCTTCATGGTACTCTCTCTCCTAACTCTAAAAGACAAAATTTTTTTTCAGGGAAATTTTGAGAACTAGACTCTGTGCACTGTACATCTTCATCGGCCTTTGAGATGTCCCCTTTAGCTTACTTCAGGGTGACTTGATGGTTGGTCCACTGATGGCAGGGAAGCTGCAGTTAAAGGGAAGACTGAATCAGGTCCTCAGCAAGAGGTTTCTGAAGGTCATCTTCTGAAAGTCTGTTTCACTCTTTCCTAGCAAAACTAAATATAGGTCCAGACAGCACGGGGAAAGAATCCAAGTCAACTTGCATGGGCAGAAATAAAATTTTAGGAAGATCTGTCAAA